TCTTTTGCTGCCAACAGCTAGCACTATTTCTGTTAATGTATCACCCTGAGCCCAGTGATAAGGTTTCATAGCCATCTGTTCCCCAGAGCTCCTTCTGTAGGTAATAGCTTTGGGTTTGGTTTTAATGCTCTTCAGGAACTCCCTGTGCCGAATGAAGCAGTACTGCAAGAGAGTAGATGTCCTGCAAGAGGATTTGCACGCTTTTGTGGAGAGGCTTGTGAAGAAAGCCTGCAAGCACACTGACTCCTCAGTGGCTCTCTATTATTTCAGGTGAGTGTACACTCAGTGCTGTGGGCTGACTGTAAGCAGGCATAATATTGCATGTTAAAGCAGTTCAGAGAAGCAAGAGACTTCAAGTCTAGGTGCCAGCATCTGTGTCTTACATGAGGACTAGTCAGTCACCCTGGCAGTCTGAAGCATTTTCAAACAGATGTCCATTGTTTTGGTGATCATCTTCAGTGGGCTCTGTGATACAGAAATAGTCTGGTACAGCTTTGCTAATAGTGATGGGAAGTGCTTCCTTGAGGCTTCATCGGGGAGCAATGAATTGTGTGTGTACGGATGAGAGGAATTTATAGTCAGTCTGCAGTGATTGTTTTGTAAATACAGTGCTTTACTGTCTTAGTGATAGCACAATGAGGACAATAATGATTATGATTCTTGGACCTACCAGTACTCACTCCTTTGCTGCTGAATACAGGTGAATTAGGGTAAGCCATGTGTGTATTTGTTAGGAAACATGAGTCTTGCTGTTTCCTGGTGTAAATGGGAGTGCCATTTACTGGTTAGGCTCTCTTGTGACTTGCAGGCAGTTTCAGGAGGACTTTCATACTCCATATGGGATTTCTCAACACAACTGAGTATGCAATGGATACCATGTTGCATGGTCAACCCTCAGTGTCCCTGGGCAGTGTTGGCTCTGCAGCACACTGGGCTTGTGGCTGCGCAGGAACCATGGTACTTCCTGGTGTTGCAGGGCTGGCTGTGTGTGCTGCACAGCTCCCTGACAGCTTCCTGGCAGTGGCAGTCCTGAGTGGAGCTGTGCCTTTTTCTCACAAGCAGCAGGCTCTCTGCATACTCTCTCAGTTGATATATCCGAGTTCTCCAGGCACATAGCAGTCTGCGCTGGGAAGGCTGCAATGCAGCACTGCCTGAGCTGTGCAGGCTTGGGAATGCAAAAATCCTCAAGCACTACTTGTCAAAAACGTGAGTTTGAGGAACTCAGGCTGACAGTGGTGATGTCTGACTGTGGTGACAGATAATGAAATGATGCAGCCTCCTAAGATTTGTTTGTCTTTAGGTCTGGCAAGAATGGGTTAGATAGAGACAAGGGGCCCTGTCAGGCAATTTAACCCTCCTAGGTACAGGATAAACTGCCTGCATCATAGAATCATAGAAGTTAGGATTGGAAAGGATCTTAAGATCATCTAGTTCCAACCCCTCTGCCGTGGGCTTCTGCCCTCAGGTGGCTTTGCACAGTTGACACTGGTAACTGCTGTGTTCTTTCCTTTTCTTTTTTAGTGCCTCGTTATACCTGCTCAAAGTGTTGAAAGGAAACACACCTGATAAGTCATCAACTACCCCTCTGCCAGAGAAACAGAACAGCACCATCCCACAGGCTTCTCAGGTCAGACTGCAGCTGCTCTTGGGGCAGTGGGGTTTACCAGTAAAGTTGCATTATCCCATTTCACTGAGTGGACTTTGCTTGCTCAGTCTCCTGTTCTGTGGCCTGCAGATGCCTGTCTACATGATTTGTTTTTCATGAAGCTGTTAAATTCCCCATCCCCTTCTGGCCCATCCCCTCCTGTCTTTGCAGTGCCTGCTTGCCACAGCCACCAGGGGCTGCTGGTGTACAGTGGTTAACTGGAGAAGCCCGATGTATATAGTTAAGCTGCTCTCCTGGCTGATTTGCTATTTCATATTAATCTCCTGGCATTCAGAGTTCTTTTCTGGGAGGGTGCTGAGGAGCAGGGAGGTACAGGACAGTGGTGGATGAGAGTGAGGTTTGGGCTGAGTTGTCTCAGGGTGAAGCAAATGTGGAGCAGCCCTCATTTCAGTGATGATTGTTTGCAGGGAGACTTTCCATCTGGTTGTTCTTTAGGTGTCTGTTACTTGTGGAGCTTTCCTCTAGGTCCTCTTTCACCTGCTGTGTCTGCTGAATTCCACGGATGTCTGAATGTGGTGACCCTATGTATTGGGCAGCTTAATCCAGTTACCTCCACTAGAAACTTAGCAAGTAGTGTTTCACCAGCCAGCTGATACTTGTCTCTGAACCTCTCAAATTGTGTTCAGGAATTAGTGCCTTAATCCTGTTGACATTTTGTGGGGGAGGAAAATAAACAGGGCCACCTCATGTCAAGGGAGGGCCTGGAAATTACAAGCACAGAGCTATTATTAGCAGCTGAAAAGACAGCCAGTGTTTCTAAGGCTTAGTGAGAGACTGAGAGTGTTAATCCAAGTGGCTTTTATTCTGTGCTGGGCCTTTCTGGAAAGAAAAGCAAAGTGGGAGATCTGTGGGAATTATAAACAACATACTTGATGTTGAGGCGAGAGTGAGACATGCTTCATAGCATCCTTGTGCAGCTTCCAGGGAAGGCTATTGCTCCTGTGGGAATAGAGCTGTGGTCTTGACCAGCCAAGGGCACAGCCAGCAGCCAAAGCGAGTTGTTGGTTTGGGGGAAGTGACATGGTTCAGTTTGTATGATGCTGCTGGTGCTGACTTGGTGTTGAGGCCAGGAAGCTTTTGCAGTGGGGAACCAGAGACAAAGGTGTCGTGTGTTTCCAGTGAGTAGTGCTTTGTGAGCATAATCTGGAGCTTTTCAGTAGCAGGAGAGTGGAACTAGAGCAGACCCTATGATGCAGTGGCTAAGTGTGTGACTACAGAAGACTTTTACAATAAACATCTGCATGGGAGGAGGAATCATTTTTCGTTCCCTGCAGATGTGTGTGTCAAATAAATGCAAAGCACAGACACTTGGCTGGGAAACTGAGGACAGATATTTCAGGATCCATTTCCTCTGTCCACTCTAGCCTGTGTTCAGCTGCAGTAGGCCTGGGAATTTGACTTGAGAATGGGACACAACACTAACATGGGTTTAACTTGCTATGGGGCCATGGAAAAATTGCTTGGGCAGAGGTTAGGAAAAGGTCCATCCACTATTGTGAAGATTACAGCTTTGACTCCCAAAATTCAGTGCTTCCCTGCTAAGAGGAGAACAGTAGGGAATGTTGGGATGCTATGCTCCATGCCTCCGTCTCCATTCATCCTTGTGTTGTTTACATCCATAGTGTCTGTGCAGGTCTTGGCTGGTTGCTGTATGTCTGGTTCCTTGTTCCCCACCAGGGGGGGATACGGGAGCATTTACAGTGTTCTAGGCTAGCTGGATCCCTCATCAGAGCTAGGGCTCGCCTGCTGGGTACCCAGAAAACCTGGCCATAGCTGTTAAGTGTGTGTAGATCTGGGTATCTACATACACTGGTATCTGAAGATTCTGATAACTCTGTATAGCTGGCAATGCCATGTGCACAGCACAGCTGCTGTGGGGTGGGCTTTGAGTGCTCTGTAAACCTTCTGTGTTAGACTTGCCCCCCAAACTTAGAAGTACAGCCCCCACACTACATGCAGTGTTTGTAGGCTTACTAGAAAGCTGTGCTGCCCTTCACTAACGTGGTCATGCGGCCATCAGTACTTGGGTGAACATGTTTGGGGCCCATTTTGTTGCTTCTTTCTGGTTCTAAATGTTGTATCCCATGGGCCTGTATCATGTAAACTACCCAAGAACATGTGGTTGTTGGAAAAACCTGTGTGCATTGATAGAAATGAAATTTCTTCATTGTTAGTGATTCATCCTTGTGTTTCACTGGAAATGTTTCTTGTTCTGCTTTTTCCCTATAGCTTTTAAGCACAGGTTGTTTGGATATGGAGAGAGTGACTGCAGTTTATCAGCAAGCACTAACACAATTCCTGTCTAAACGGAACAGTGCCCTTACAAGCTCCATGTTCCATGATCTCTTCACACGCTTCCCGGTGAGTGTTGCTGACTGCATGGTATGTTCCGCTGGCTCCCAAGTCCAGTTGTAACTCATGGGGAAGTAGGGAGGGAAACTTGCCTGCTTTATTTGTGGGCTTTTAAAACTGCTGTCAGGTTTCCTAGATCTTCCCCTGCTGTTAGTACTGTATGTTTTGATAGCAACATTGCAGAACACCAGGATCTCATGTATGGTTTGGGCTGGAATACTGCGTGGAGAACGTAGATGAACAGAGGTCTGCCCTTTAAATACAGCCTGAGAAGCTTTGATTTTTCTTTTTCTACCAGTATTCAGGACAGTGGGATGAGCAAGGTTTACATGAGGCTGGACACACTATTGCTGATCCAAGCCAAGATTCTCAGCGCCTTCTTGGCCACCTGGGCACAAGATGGCTTATTTTCAGCCAGCTGTTGACCACCCTCCCCAGGTCCTTTTCTGCCAGGCAACTTTCGAGCCTCTCTTCTCCAAGCCTGTGGTGGTCCATGGGGTTGTTGTGATAAACAGATGAACACTTGTCATCTGCAAACTTACTGAGGGTGCACTTGATCCCCTCTTCCACATCATTGCATCTCCTTTATAAAACAAAGGTAACAATATACACAAACCCTGGCCTGTTTAAAGCTAGGGTTTGCCCACTTGCTAGAGCTCTCTGTTCTTTTAGTAGGCTTTCCTCCCCCCTCCCCAAAGAAACTATTTCACGTGGTATGGTTGGAATAACCATCTGCACAAGATATCAGTGAACTGTGCAGCAAACTGCTGTCTCTGCCTTGTCAGAGCCAGACCTTCCAATGCCTGTTAGGTGGTATTAGTGGTATTCCAGTAAGGTATTTACAGTCCAGATGCTTTCTCATTTCTTGTGCCCCTGAATTTGGGAGTATTTTGTCTGTAAGTGTAGAAATTTGGTGGATTAGACCAGAACAGAGGTTCATCAAGCTTTGCTGACAATTATTACTCCTCTAGAAAGGTTGGTTTGATCAAGAGTTGCAGCAGGGCACAACTTTAAAGTGACTTGGAGGTCTGCAGGGAGGCCTTCCTCCTGGCTGTTGTTTCTGGCCCTGTTAGCAGGTGGGTTCAGATCTTTCTCCAGGCTCTGATGTTCTGCAGTCTAACCCAGCATATTCTCCTTTGCCCCTGAGACTGTTCCTCTGTGCAAAGTGAGCTGCCTGTGTACAGGAAAATGCAGTCTTGAATCCAGAATCAGGCAGAACACAAGAGGTGAAATCTTTGCCTGATAGTTCTGAGTTAAGAGTTTTGCTGCTGATTTTGTTGTGTTCAAGATTTCACTCGGGGTTGGTGTGAGCAAAGCTGTTAATTTTCAAATAAGCTGTTGCTGATCTCTGGGCACTTTTGTTTCTTGTGGCATTTAATTCTCACTCAGGAAGCTGTGTAAAATACAGGCTGTTTTGCTTGAACACCAAACCTGTCCGCCAGCAAACCACTAATAAGAGATTGGGTCTTTCGTTACAGATCATGTGTAAGCCATTAGTAGATACTCTTGTCAAGTCTATCACAGCGGGAGCCAGGCAACATCAGCAGGTAAGAAGGAACGCAAACAAACAAAGCTGTATTAAACAGTCAATTGGAGAAGTCAATCACAGCAGCTCAGGTGATGCTTAATATGCTTAATGCTGCCTTTAGGGCTGCCCAATTTTGAGAAGTGGGCTTCCTAGGGGGAGAGCTTTTGCAAATACTGTCTTGCTGCTTCAGGTGTGTGGCTGAAGTTGTGGAAAGAGGTTATAGATGTGCAGTCGCAGGGGTTCTTTGGTAGCACCTCCTTTAAAACCTGCCTGCAGCTTTCAGGGTTGAGGCCTGATTGATAGGGGGTTTGCCTTCAGTTACTTATTCTTTGATTACTTTCTTATTGGTAGGATGTTCCCCTGTATTAATGTAGTGTGTCATGCTCCTTGCCTCCTAATGCTAACTGAGGGTTAGCTTCTGGAATCTGTTCTGCTCCTTGCAAGCTGTCCTGCACTTTCTAGGGCATGTGCTTCTGTGTCTAGTTTAAAACACCTGTACTATAGATCCGATTTGTGATGGTTGAGTGCATGTGCCTGACTAACACAGAGTTAGTGGAGCCTTATCAATAAAACATTGCAGGGTGAGTGCACAGCTCACTGTTGCATGAGCAGGGATTGAGGCCTGTCTGGGTTTTCACTGCAGTGGGGGAGCCTTCCACGCAGTTAATAACCAAAAGCCCTCTGGGCCAGTAGCACTGTGCTCAGACTTTCCCACCCCCCAGCTGTAACATGCATCTATCCCCTGCAGAAATGCATCCTAGGTTGACCTTTCAGTTTCATAAATAGCTGGTTTATTGTTTCTGAGCATTGGAGGGAATGTGAAGGGTTAGGTGTGTGTTTGCTGTAGGGCTGCTTTATACTGTCAGTGTAAATTGCATTTCAGGGTCGTTTACCCAACAGGAATGGCTCTGATTTAGAGAAAAGAGTGAATTAAGCTAATTTTATGTTCAGTGGCTAGAAATAAGGATGCATTACAGAAATAACAAACAAATTAATTTTAAAGCACATACTTGAACCTATCCTCAAGAGACCAGAGCAGCATCCAAGCAGGCAGCTTCATTATGTGGCTGTCTTTGCTTCCCCACAGGGAATAGCATTGTCCTTCTTTCAGGGCTTCCAGTTATCTCTTCAAGCTTTGTTTCCAGAGTGTGCTTATCTGTGGGTGGGAAGAGTAGGGGAGGATGTGCAGTGTACTGTGTGTGGGAGACTGGGTAGAGAACGTGTATATACTGCTGTTCAGACAAAGGCAGCATGGCACAATAAGCTGTGTAAAGCCTGTGGAGTTCGGGTTTGCAGCTTTGTATGTTTTGCACACTGCTTTCTTCTCAGGAATTCTGTCTTCACCTCATCAAATATCCAATTTTGCAGGTTTTCAGTTAAATATTCCCACTGGTTTTCAATGCAGATGTGCTTTGGTGGTATCTTAGAGGGTAGAGGCAAACTTGGTGGGTGTATGTGGCAAAGTCATATTTTGTGTGAAGTAGGGGGATAACTTCTCTGGAGTCTGCAGCTCCTGGCAGCCTCTGGGGGAGTCAGGTGAAGAGGCTGGGCCACGAAAAGGGCTGTCCTAATTCAGAATCCTGAAGACACCAAGGTATGATACATTCCCTTTGGCCAGCCCCTATAGTTAAGAGGCAAGTGGGGTAGTCTCCCATTTTCAACTCTGAATAGTGGCTTCTAATCATTAAACTAGCTTAATCCCAGAGACATGAGGCTTAATCCCCCTTCTAACACTCCTGTTATTAATGCTGATTGTTTTGGCTGTGCCTCCTGTGTTGATGTGAGCAGCTAATCCCACTGTGATTTTTGACTTCTTGGCTCTGCTGATCCCTTTGGCAGGGAGTCCCCAGGGCCATGCTCTGCATGGGAAGGTGGAGGCTCACAGCTCTGGCCACATGTCTTGTGTTGGCCTGGTAATGAGCCCTGGAGCTCTGGCCCACCAATGCTGGTGGCCACTATCCCAACTGGCCTGGGGGAGGCCCTTTCCATGGAGGCAGGAGAAGCAGATTTGCCTTCAGGTTGGGCTTTTAGTCAGTTTTGAACTAAAGGAAAAGTGGTTCATGAGGAGAATGTAAGGGGGGAGGATATTCCCTCCTTACCTTAATACCTGGGTGTTTGTGAGAGTAGCTTGGAGGGGTCTGCTCCAACTTTCAGCCAACTGGTCCCTGCCATACATGTCCAGCTCTTACTGCTGTTGCTGGGGTCTCTAGTGTAAAGTCAGCCTTGATCTCTAAGTGGTTGCACTGAACTAGCCTGTTGAGGTGATTCGTTTCCCTGTGTGCTCTGTAAGCCACAGTGTGTAGAGCAAGACCTGCACCTGCCTGGGCTCTTGTCAGGAAGCAGCAAACCTCAACTGTATGTGAGATGTTCCTGTGCCTTGTGTTGTGAGCTGCTGCAGGTCTGCTGAACTTAATTTCTGGGCAGTTGTAACTGAGAGAGCATCCTCAAGGAAGTGCAGGAGCTGTTCAAATGCTGCTCAGCTGGCACTGGCTTGGGGAGGAGCTGTCTGGCCTTTCCAACCCCAGCCCTTTGTCCTGATCCTGGGGACCTCACTGTCTGTCTGGTGCCCAAGTGTCCATGCAGTTATGTCAGAAAATGGGCATGAGGATGGTTTGCCTGGAAACTTGCCCTCCCCTTGCGCACATTCATCTTTCCCTACCTTTCTCCCTTTTGCTGTGCTACAACAATGAATTTTGATGAATTCATTGGTCTTGTTCATGGCACAGAAACAGTTCAGGGGCAGGGGTGGCTGGGTGAAAGCTCAGATTTATCTCACCATATGGCAGTGCTCATTTAACATGAAATTATGGCTCCTGTGAAGTGAGTACGAGAATGCTGGAAAGCAGTTTGTCAGTGTGGAGTGTTGGCTGTGGCTGATGACTTGGACAACTGGGTCTTGCAAATGCTGCAGCCTTTCTGTACCTCCTGTTTCAGTCACCTCTGAAGGCCAGAGATCATCTGACCCTCGGCAGCAGTGTTGCATCTGTAAAGACAAAGGTGTTTGTGGTCATGGAATGGGTGTTACATGCCTTTCTGTTAGGTGCATTTCTTTTGGCCTTTGTGATTGCTGTCGAGAGAGGTCTTCTGGAGATACCCAAAGGCAGGTGTAGCAGAGGGTGTCTCTTGATTTAAAGCTTAGTAGAAAAGAAGGAAGCATTAGTACAAAACTTTAGGTAGTGTGACAGACGTCACGTCAGCCCTGTTTCTCTGACACTGTTCCTACATGTCTAAAGCAGTGGTAGGTTTGTTCACCTCCATATTGAAGTCATCTGTGAGATAAAACGAGCAGCACATTGAGGGGTGAAAGTTCTTAAGGCATTTTAAACCTGGCTCACAGTGGTTGGGTTGGTAGCAGTAAGCTCAACCTGTATAACAAGTTTTAGACTGGAAAGGTGAATCTGCAATGGTCTTATTGAGACTAAACTTGAAACTGAAGCTTGTACATGAGGCCAGGTTCTGTTCCTGTGGTGTTACTCCTGGAGTGTGGATGCCTGCAGGAAACAGTAATGCAGCAGTTTCCCTGGAAGAGGAAAGAGCTGGAGAGGTTGATGTCATTTGTGAGAAAGAACAAAGGGCAAGGGATGCTTGACCAGGGAAGGGGGTTGTCATCCCACCCACTTAGTGCCTTTTTAAACATACACATCAGAAAGATGCAAATGAAGATCTGTGTGACAATGGGTCTGCAAAATCACCTTGTTTCAGGCAGCTCATGCATCTGAGCTGGACTTTTCCCCTTTGGTGAGACCACACTGATTGCAGGACACTGAATCATCTGCTGCCAGTTCAAATGCACTGTGACTCTGGCAGCGGGTGCTTTGGATGCTCAGCGTTACCTGTTGGCTGGCCTATTTTTCACACTCTACATTGAAGTGTGGAGCTAAAGACGACTGCTGTCCCAGTGGTGCCTATGTGCGAGTCAAAATGCTTCAGGCTTGGAAAGAATGAAAACACTGATGCTTGGATGTCTTTTATTGAACTGAGAAGTCTGGTGGGTTTTGCTGTGGTGTTTGTTTTGTTTTTTCTTTTTGTTACTACAGTAGCAGTTGGGATCTATTTCCTAAACTCCTGTTGCTCCTTGCTTTCCCATGTGTCTAAGTTAAACCAATTTACAACTTGAAGCTGCACTGCGTTCTCAGAATTTGCCGTGCCTCGTGTGTGTGGTGTGTTGCACTGTTGTCCACTGTAGAAAGAAGTGAATAGTAACGGTATGAAATGACTAGATTGTAAGCAGCCACTGTGAAGCTTCTCAGGAGGACTTTTAGTGTGTGAGAAGTGCTACAAGTTACAGTAAAAGAAAGAAGGTGGTACAGAATGAATTTTTGGGGTGGTCTAATCCAGCTTAATGGATGCAGTTACAGTAACTATGACCTTGTAGGTGCTGTAACGGCCAGCAGGAGTATCAACAGTGGTAGGAAAATGGGAGCAGTGCGCACATCACGATCTCTTTGTACATCCAGGTGGATTTGATAGCTTTCTCTTGCCAACAAGGTGCTTACACCCGAGTAAAGTGTAGGTAACATTTCTAGACTTCAGTACCTACATGCATACCAGCATATGTATGTGTGCTCTAAGTAGCTTAGGTACAAATGACAGGTAGGGATATAAGCTTCAGTGGTAAGACTGGTATGGGAAAATGACAAGTCATCAAAAAATGGAGCTTGTGTTACACATTTGAGCTGACCTGGTGCTGATGAACTGTGTTAAGCTTCTGGCACAGATGATCCCGTTGGCAGTGCACAGCCTTGCAGTTAGCCAAGCAGAATGTGTGTGGTGCTAATGGGGAGGGAGGCTTGTGCTGGTTTGTTGACTAAGGACGTTGCTGTCGGTCTGATGTCTTCCACAAGCACTAAACACATTCTCTTAAATTCTCTTTAGAGAAAAAAGATGGTGTGAGCTTGTTCTTGCTTCCTCCTTTTTTAATGCAGTTTGATCTTACTACTGCAGGTGTTTTCTAGGAGACTTTGACCTTCAGATTACTTCCTTGTGCCTTGTTTCAGTGGGTGCAGCATTGCTTTTTCAATATGCAGAAAAGGTTTGGGTTTTTGGCTTGTGCTGATGGAGTGTAAACCAGGGATCAAGGTGTGTTTACTTTAATGATTGTTGCATGACTCAGCTACATACCAGAACCCTCCTGAGCCTCAGGTGAGGAATGTCTTCCTGGTTTATTTTTAGCAGCATCAGTATGATGAGCATAGCTACAGTAACATCTAGTTCTGTGATTGTGTAGTCTTGGGCTGTGTCTCCGACACTATTACAGCACAAACCTGTTGGTGGTGTGTTGTTAATTGTGGTGAGGTTCTTATGGCATTTCCAGCCCTTCTCCCCCATTTTGATAGATGCTGGGTCTGCCAGAGGACTGGCTGAGTCTGTGAACTAATGCTTCTACCCTAATTTCTACCCTAAAACCTTACTCTGTTAGTCTGAGGATCAGGTGAAGAAGGAGAATGTGTGGCTGTTTGCACTGCAGTACCCAGGCTTGCTGCTGATGCAGGCTTCTGCAGGCATGTCCATATTCTAAGTGCCAGCTCTGGACTGGAAACAGGCTGGATCGTGGCCTTTCTGGAAGCCTGGAGTGGAACAAGCAGGCTTTCCCCTGAGAATTCGACCTTGTTGAGCAGCAGTACTGAAAACAGCTTGGAAAGGAAGACTAGCAAATGAAACATCCACTGCTACCAGGAGTGAAGCGTTGTCCCCATCTCGCTTGTATTGGCAGGCAGACCACTTATAGTCTGTAACTTTTGCCTAGGCTTTCCACAAACGATTTGATACCTGTCTCTTGTCCTTCTCCTCAGGGAAATGCATTAGGAGTGTACGTTTCAGTGCAATTGCTAAGAGCCTTTGCAATTACTTTTGCACTGTGGTCAGTTTGAATACATTTACATGTAAAACTGCATTGATTGAGGATGTTGCAGTAGCTGGGAGCATAATGATGCTATATTTGTCCATCAAGTGAGTTTATCTTCTGTGATTTGGCTAGAACTCTGCAAAGCTGATGTAAGTGCAGAGCTGTCATGAAACTCATAAAAGTCATTTTACTGAGTGTGGAGATGAGAATGGGCACTGAGACAGTTCAAAATGTCATCTTCTGTCACTTAGATTCATTAATATTTCAAAATGTGTTTTTATAAAGCAGTCTGTGACAAGGAACCCTTTAAGATGTATCTACTAGAGGGTGTATTTTAGGTAAGTTGCTAATTAATCTTGGTGCTTTGGCAGTCTCCCCAAGGGGATCAAACATATATAGACATCATTTTACAGAACTGAAGCAGTTCTGTGCCAGAGCTGCCATCACCAGAAGAGTAAGATTTCATCCCAAAGTCCTGCCAAAGAGGTCTTGGCTGGTTGACAGTTATCTTTCTGAACTGTTTATGTTCTGTGTAAATAACTAAGTTAAAAAGTAATTAAAGTTTAGTACAGCAATAATAATAAAAGCACTGCAATGTGTCAGAAGCCAGCACCCCTCTTTGTGTACGTTGGGCAGTTCCTCGTGCTGGGTAGATGAATGGATCATTGCATTAATGCACAATGCCTTGCCTGCATTCTCACAGGTGGTTTCCAGCAGGTGGTATAGGAATATTGTTATGGAATATTTTGTGTAAGCAAAATTACTAATAATGAAGCAAAATAAACCTCCCCAGATAAGTATCAGCACCAGTTCAGTTCTTCCCTCTTTGCATCAGCAATGAGACTTGGGCTGCTGGTGCTAGCAAGGCAATAGGCCATGTCTGAAAGGTACCATTCCTTCAAAGCATCTTCCATCCTTTTGGCAGAGGTAGGGCACGCTGCTCCTGTGTCACCCATAAAGGTGTCACTAGGAGGAAGGCTTGTCCCAGGGTCTGGTTGAGACAGCCACATCTTCAGAGGGTGTTACTCACCAGCAGTGACAGCTTCTTGTGCAGTATGGTCTTACAGTGGCTCTTACCTTTAAGCTTTGTCCTTTTTGTCTTCTGTTCATTATGCATTCTCTGTTCAATGAAGAGAATCCAATTGCAGCTGGAAAATGTTATGTCAGAGTGACATGCTTTGGCTCCAGTCAGTGTCCTGCTCCTGTTCCTGTTTTTGTTTTGTGTAAGGAGATGGTCAAGGAGACCCTGTGTTTTGCAAGGTAAAGCTGATCTGTGGGTGGGCTCTTGGGACATTTTTGTGCTATTTCATCGTAAGCTAGCAAAGCCCTGTGACATGAACTAGCTCTAGGTATGTAAACTGTCCCTCTGAAGTCGAA